AAGAAGTTGAAAATAAAGGATTTTCATTGACATATCGTCAAATACCTTGTACAGTTTGAATTGATATTTGATATATAAAATATAGAAATTAATATATAATTTAATGTATAATTTTTTTAATTATATTTATACAAATAAATTAAAAATTAAGAAATATAATATTTTTAGTGAATAAAAATTAAAAAAATATTAGATAAGAAATATCAAAAGATATACGTATTATTTTATCATGTAATACTCACAAATTATATTAATACGGAAAATATTTAAAAATTATATATAAATATGTTTTATCTTAAAATATGTTTTTCTTAAATATAGATATTTTGTTATTATGCTTTTTATATTAATTTGAAGTTTTATATATATATATTTTTTAATTTTTTACCATTAAAAATTTCTTTAATGTAATTTATTTTATTTCTTTTTATTATATTAACTATACTAACTTATATACTATACTATACTAACATATTGTACATGCTTTAATGAAATAACATAAAATATAATTTTATTTATATTAATTTCTTATAACAATTATGATAAATAATACAATCAAAATAATTTTAATGAAATTGAAGTAAATAAGATATTAATATAAATCTATAAGTATTTAATTAAATAAAATCTATAAGTATTAAAATTATTTTTTTATTATTTAGCCATTAAATATTTGCTTCCTGAGTGTGTTTCTACTTCTTTGGCCATAGCATCATACCATGTACAAAGTTTAGTATTTTCTAAAGCATCTTTAAAAGCACTACATCCTTCTATACTTTTCAAAATTCCATAAACAGCAAGATCTGACAAATTAGGCTTTTTTCCTCCCATGAATGTACCACCATGTTTTTTAATAGCATATAACCATTTGTTAATTTCATCATATAAAGATTGTCTAACATCATCTTTCAAATTATGTCTTTTTTTTAAACGTTTTGATATAAACCACATAGCTATAGCACCTATATTTATTATTATTAATCTTTCCCATATTGGAAAATATTCTTTCCATTTACCAACCTAATGAAATTATTTATATATATATTTTTTAAATTTATATATTAGCATTAAAATTAATATATATTTTGTTTGATTTAATTGTTGTCAAATACTTACTTCAGAAAACCAATTAAAAGTTTTGTAAGCTTCACTAAGTGTTCTATATACATTTGGTGATAATGTATGTACAAATTCATCATCAACCCATTGTCTCCATTTACGTTCTTCTCTATAATAAAAGATATAAATTAATCAAAATATAAAGTTTAATCTACTTTAATATAGAAAAATGAAATGTTATTGCTTGTATAATAAAACTTACATAATCTCATTAATGTTTTCATCTGAAATTAAATTTTCTTTATACATTAAAAAATATTTATTCATGATTTCATATTTCAATTTTTGATTTTCATCATGCATTGCTATACTTGGATAATATTCTACTAAATCATTTATTTTTTGTGATCTATCTTTTAAATATGATGCTAATAGAGAAACAATCATTGAACTATCATTTAAAGGCTGATATCCTGAATCTATTTGTGCTAAAAGTATTGGTACTTTCTTATAAGATGACCAAGATATTTCTTTTCGCAATACAGGATCAACTTCTACAATATCATAAGATATTCCATAATAATCTAAGAAAACTCTGACCTAAAATATTTTTATATTTATAATTATTAGAATTATATTAATAATTATATTTATAATTATTATTCATGATATCATTGTTAAAAAATTTAATATATATAATATTAAATATTCTATTATATTATATTTATATTTTTGTTTAAAAAATACATATATCATTATTTAATTTATTATATAAATTATAAAAATATAAATATTTTACCTTACAACAGAAAGGACAAGTCTGATATTGAAATAAAGTCAATTTTAATTCGGTAGAATCCATTGGAGAAACAACCTATAATAAAAATAAGATGTTAAATTAAAAA